TCGAGCTGCATTTGCTATATAATATGCATAATAATATGCTATATAATAATACATATATAACATACTAGTAGAACACGTTAGTAGGACATGTACTATCATGCATAGTTCTATAACTCCCACGTGTACGTCTCTACGTTAGTAGGACATGTACTATCATGCATAGTTCTATAACCCCCACGTGTACGTCTCTACGTTAGTAGTACATGTACTATCATGCATAGTTCTATAACCCCCACGTGTACGTCTCTACGTTAGTAGTACATGTACTATCATGCATAGTTCTATAACTCCCACGTACACGTTTCTACGTTAGTAGTACATGTACTATCATGTATAGTTCTATAACTCCCACGTACACGTCTCTACGTTAGTAGTACATGTACTATCATGCATAGTTCTATAACTCCCACGTGTACGTGTCTACGTTAACATGTACTATCATGCATAGTTCTATAACCCTCACGTACATGTCTCTACGTTAGTAGTACATGTACTATCATGCATAGTTCTATAACTCCCACGTGTACGTGTCTACGTTAACATGTACTATCATGCATAGTTCTATAACCCTCACGTACATGTCTCTACGTTAGGTGAGTGATCTGATCATCCCGACTGACGAGACGGCGATACAGACTTTCTTCCTGGAGACGTATCTACGCAGTGAGGTGCCGACTCTGTTTGTAGGACCGACCGGCACGGGGAAGTCCGCCATCATCAATAGCTTCCTCGTCGCTCTGCCCAAGGAGAAGTAAGGACCTCGCGTGCGGGGGGAGGGGGAGAGGGAGGGGGAGGGAGGGGAGGGGAGGGGACGGACAGGCAACGTTCCATAGATAATTGTGATGCCACAAGTTTAAAATGTTGTGAATAGTTTTATGACATCGTGAGTCTGCAACTTTGCGAGATGTCGCGAGTCTAATGAGCCTGCAATCGTTATGTCTGTCTTGACATATGTTTAAATCTAAGTTGAATTGACACGATTCACATGATACAACATGATGCGTGAGACAGTTATTGTTGCCGTATAATCGTGTTCCTGCTTCATGCTGTAATAACGTGCAACACTTCCCATTTCAGATACGTCCCCAACTTTGTCAACTTCTCCGCTAGAACATCAGCCAATCAGACGCAAGACATCATCATGGCTAAGCTAGACAGGTGGGCGTGCGTGCTGTTCTTGTGTTATATGTTGCTTTTTGCCAGAGGGCACCACTTACGACATGGCAGCATGTTAACAACATGACACACCGGATGGATTGTAGCGCTACGCTGCTGCAGCCACAAGTAATGCATTGTTATGCCACTCGCATTTGTGCTCGCGTTCGAATAAAAATTTAAAAGGGATATATGCACCTTATTAACCAAAGATCCAAACAGATTTCTTTCGCTTTCCCTCTCTTTGGTATGAAGTGTTTACAGACACAGCAATCACTTGCTTATTTATACAATAACGTTATATGTTATACGTTAATATTACGTATTGTGCAATTACACGATACGTTACATTATGAGGATGCATCTCATTATTGCATTCATTATGCAATCTATTATGCATCTATTATGCATCTATTATGCAATCAATTATGCATCTCATCATATATTATTTATATATCACCCATCACATTATACATTAAATTATACAACGTTTGTGTGGATATGTTCACGTCAAGTGGCATGAGATGATGACACACTCGGTTATTGATAGATGAGTTGTAGATGAGTTGATAGATGAGTTGTAAGGTGTTTCTGTCATGCAGGCGGCGTAAAGGTGTGTTCGGTCCACCGATGGGGAAGAAGATGGTCGTGTTTGTGGACGATCTCAACATGCCAGCACTGGAGAAGTATGGAGCTCAGCCTCCCATAGAACTACTCAGACAGGTATAGAGTTATGTACATGGTGTGTGCGTGCGTGCGTGCGTGCGTGCGTGCGTGCGTGTGCGTGAGTGCATGCGTGCGTGCGTGTGCGTGAGTGCAGAGAAGTAATGCGACGGGGCTCAGCCATCCATCGAGCTAACTCAGAAACGTTTTAAACAAAATTCGGGAATAATGATAGGTTTTATTTTTAGATCGAGTGTGGTTGTGTCCAGAGCTGTTGCTCGCAGAAAGATGGTCGGTGAGCTGTGGCTCGATAAGTGTAGGGGCGTGAGTGAGTGTCTCGGGAGGCTATGAGAGGCTCACATGGGCTTCCAAAATTTGAGAGGCTCAGCACTAGCCGCATCTAAGAGACATTATTTTCCCTTTCCAGTTTAATGCAAGGAGAAGAGTAATACTGATTCAAGAGTTTATGGTAACAATGGTTTGCGTCGAGTGCGTGCGTAGCGCGTGGGGCTGCTTTTGGGACGTTTAGCCGTTACGACCGGGCCGGTAGGGCAGCAGTCAGCTGAAATGTGCATCTGGGGGAAATGCTGACCCACAAATCGCGATCGCCATCAGCGTGTCTTCATAAGTTATGAGAAAGAAAAATTGAAGAAAGAGCCAGTTGTGAAGTTATATGGTTTTAGGGCGTGAAGCAGCTCCTTATTAACACACTTTCACATACTGAAGAAATGAAGCAAAACACGGATTGCAAACTTCAGACCCTAGAGTATATGATTCACGATGTGTGTAGCATATTTTTGTCATTGTTTCCCGTAGTAGAACGTTGGGGTGGGATTCGTGCACTGCGCTGGAGTCGTGCGTGCGAAAGTAGTAGTGCGTGGTGCGAAGCGATTGTTGAGGGGTGGTGGAGAATATGCTTAATGACTCGCGGTGCAGGCGGCTCGCTCTACGAAAACTCAGGACGTTCAATACCTACGCCTTACTCATTCCAGGAAGGAAACAAACTGGCAATGCAATTTTGAAAACATATAGGGGAAGTGGAGGGTGGGGTAGGAGGTGGTGCGTGGTGTGTGCGTGCGTGCGTGTGCGGGGGTGGGGTGGGGTGGTCAAGTAACGGTTTTACTTGAGTTATCGGTTGACGTAGGCAGACCTGAAATGCAATAGTAAATTTGCCAAAATTCTATCCCTAATGTGCATAATAAAAATAATTTATATATATATATCCCTGTATGATGAATCGTGAGGTGGGCGTGCGCTCCGGGTGCGTCCGTAGCTAGCGTATCGCTGTGCAGTGCGGAGGGGTGGCAGGAGCAAGGTAGCGAAGAACTGCCATTGACGCTAACTGACTTGTAGCCATTCCATTTGCCAAAAACTTGGCTCGAATTAGGGCAACGGCGTGCTCGCAAAAAGGTAGTGAGATACGCTCAAATGGAGCTACCGGCATCCTTCCCACTAAGGAGTAACACTATAGCAATTATGACACATCATGTGAGGCGTCAACATCGGTTCCTCACTAGATCGTTATGGGACGTCAGTTAGTATTATATGTGTAAGTTATAGGTTATAGGTTGTCCAATGTTGGACTGAGTTATGGTACGACTGGTCGGGCACACCTAGAAGGTACGGTGATCGCGATCGCGAGGCGATGCGGTGTCTGTGATGTGGAGAAAGTATGTGTGAGTGCTCAGCACTGGCCCATAGAGCTATCAGACAGGTAATAGGAAGTTTATGGCACATGGTGCGTCCCTGACGACACGAACTCATCTTTGGACGATGGTCTAAAGCGCACCTTAAAAATTGGTGCTTATTTAGTAGGTGACTACACGTCACGGGTTATATAGGGAATTAGCAAATGATAAATTTTCGCGTGATATTGTATCTAAAGTTAAACATCTATGAAATAGTATAAAATAATAGAAAGCTGTGTGTTGCGTGTCGTGCAGCTGTTGAGATAGGTCTGGTAATGTCTTGCAGGCCCTCCTTTAGTCCACTCACCACGCGCACTTCATGATCGAGCGTTAGTCAATTGATGGTAATGCGACATCACTTGGTCGCAGGCGTGTGTAGTGAGTAGCACGCAATAAATGGACTGTGGCGATAGGTCTGTTGCCGCTTGACGGGAAACACATGAGGTGACACATGGTGGGAGGCTAGGCGTTGGTTCTGTGCCGTAGATTGTTTTGTTTAGCAGAGGAGCGTGCGCATACGGCTAACGAGGATGAAATGTATTATCAAGTACGATTTGGGCAGTGGAAAATATGTTCATATGGCACGTGCGTTGAGGAGTAGAGATGTAGCCGTTAGTGTGATAGAAATATAGAGCCCACAGTCGAAAGCTCTCCAATACGAAGCATTAACGTCAGACAGGGTATAAGTATGTTTATCTAAACAGTAATTGCTAGTTGCGTATCGGGACGTGCGTAGGGTCACAGTTGTAGCGTTGGTGTTACGTTGCGTGCAGGTGAGCCGTCGCTGTCGAGAGAATGGTCACTGCGAGCTGTCACTAGACCATGCCGGCTTCTGCGACGATAATAAGACTAAAGTCTGAGTGACAAGAGACTAGATATAAGTAGTTAAGTGTAACATGGTGCGCTGTGAATGTGTCGTGGTTGGCGTTAAGCCGTTGGGCGTGCGTGCGTTTGTGTAAGAGAGATGAGAAGTGCCTTCAGTGCTGGCGTGGTGCGTGTGATAGCGTGCGTGTGTGTGTATATGACTGCCATACTGAGGCACGTGCAATGAGGTCTATGATTCTCATATATTGGGTGCGAGCGAGGATAGTTATGGTGGTTGGCAATTCTCTGATGGCATTTGGGGGGAACGGGCACTCATATAAAATCTATGGCTGTGAGTGTGTTATCAGCGCGACTAATTTCAAAGCAAGCGAGGAACATATTTGGATCGAGATTAAAACAACGATTATCAAAAGTTTGAGTGGAAATTACATTTACATGGTTAACATTCTTTTACACACAAAGGAGAGGTATAAAAATAACCCAATACAAAATAAAAATTGAAGCATTCATTATTTACATCAAAGGTCAACGAGCTAAAGTGAGCACCAGATACAAGCGCTAAATAGCCATCCTTTAAATTATTATCTATTATTTTAGGTTATGTATGATTAGAATAATTCCTTATTTTATAAGGTGAGAAAATATGTCTGCTTAATAATACCGATAATAGCGTTAGTTTTAGCTAAGAGTACATGTAAAATCATTTATATATAGATCAATATTATGATTGCCATAGAATGGCATCGTAAGTGGGTACGGTGATTATTAGTAATAGTACAACCAAGCGGGGGACACGGACGTCATGGAACGTCAGTGTCCCGGATGCACTACTTTTACACGCATTTAGATTATTTAATCGCAACCGATTCCTGACCAGACAAAGCAACACGATGCAGACAGGAATAGACTGCAACCAATATGTTTTACACGATCAACAGGATGCGGATCGTGAAATCGTGGCGTTCTGGGCTATGGTGATGCTAGCATCTGGTTCTGCTTATAAGTGGATGCGACCACGGGGACATCGCAATCAAGCGAGCGCGCAAGAGCACGTCCAAGTGGAGTTAACCGACATCCTGTTCGTGTCTGGCAGATGGGGCCCGCTGGTGGAGGCCGCACGAGATTCACCGAGTCGGGCTTCACTTCGACAATCGTGAGTCGTTCGTCCATCGACCGGTTTAGCGACGGACCACGGCATGAATCGCATCTTCGGAAACGGATCGTCGATTGGCACTTTGGGCCAATGGTTTCGATTCCGCGTTCCAGCGACGGAAGGTATGTGGCCGCTGCTCGCTGCCTCCTCGCGCCGCCGCCGCTGCTGCTGCTGCCAGCAAACAAATCTTGATGGCCGGATCTATGCAGCGTGTTTGTGCTTCTGTAAAATGCACATACTAACAGTTAATTCAGCGTTGTGTTGACGACTACTAAATTGATCATAAGCAGTCGTATAGTGTCAAGCCTACCGACTACTTGTGTCACACTTGGTTATCATAG